AGTAATTGTTGAACTGTTCATGAGCTTTCACTGTAGACACAACCGATTTCCATTCAGACCTCAATCCATTCATGAAAGTAACTTTTTTCTCTATTACTTCACGCCCGAGATTGCGCTTAAGCATCATGCTCAATAGATGATTAAAACGGTTGAAAGTCTGATCTAGTTTTTCATCAGACTTTTGAACAAAGGCTACAAACTCAAAAAGAAGCAACATTTTCATGGAGTGTTCCAAATCAGCATCGATGGAATAAAACTCTTTTAACCTATGCCATATTTCTTTTTCCATATCACATGCACTAACCAAACGAAAAGTGTCTGGAGGAAGAGCAAACCTTATTATTATCATCGCCTTGATATTACTCAACAACTTATCCTTTTCATCTTGAGGAATAGCAACATTTTCAACAAGAAGAGCATTGTATTTGGCTTGAGTCTTGATAACCTTCCTGTGTCATAGCTTGCCAATTGTTGTACCGTGTTCTTCAATGCCTAGAACATAATCTTCGAAGTGCAAGGCCCATAATTCATAATCCTGTGGGAAGAGGATTGAGATCCTTGTAGTAGATTTGATACTGTTGGAGAGATTGAAAGATACAATATGCGGATCTTCATGATTCATCTTCACAAGAGTTCACAGAAGCGAATATAGAATCAGGTGTGTAATAACGTGAATCAAGATCTAGGGTAAAATAAGAGATCTAGATCCGAAGCCTACAACTGATTGAAGCAATTGAGAAACCAATAATAGATTTAAGAGAAACGATAAACCCTAGTTAGGAACTCGATAGAATAATAGCGAATGAATTACACTATCTCCTGCTCTGATACCAATTGTAGAAACAGTTAACAAGATCGTTTTATTCTATATTGAATAATGTGAAATAAAATAAAAGAGCGAAGATCAAGATAGTGCCAAATTCTTAGATTAACAAAGCTTTGTAAGAGTTTAACATGAACTTCTTTGTATGAGCTAGGTAGGGCGATACAATCGTTAACCCTAGAAGGATACATGCATGCACATTAAGTAGTCTAACCCTAGCAAAGCATAAACACGGATGGACAAGACCAACCCGTTAAAATAAGACTACTCTAGTAGAATACATTTTGACAAAACACTTTTATGAACCAACATTGCTCATATCCTCCTCCGTTATCATTTTGATGCAACTTTCTATTAAGTGTGAGGACACCAGTCTCGAAATAATGAGAGCAAAATATTGATGCTTCATGAAGCAAGTACACGTTAACTATGAACGCTTCCAATCGAGATTTATTTTTTACATCTTTTTTCAACTGATTTAGATATCTATAGTAAATAAGATTTAAATTAGCTTAAACAAATAGCAACATACATTTTTATGTATGATACAAACCTTTCAAATGGATACATCCATCGATATTGGATGGGGCTGGTTATCTTCGCTTCATATGGAAAATGTACTGGTAAATGTTCCATCGAGTTAAAAATAGCACAGACAAAGATGGTCTCTAATTTACATAGAATTATTGGGATCACGATTTCAATCCTTTCCATGTATTTTTTTTGCGATTGAAGTTGCTATTAATGTTTTGAAGAAAAGACCCAACTCTTTTAATGCTTCCCACACATGTTTTGGCAACATCTCATGATATGCAATTGGCATCAATCTTTGCATAAAAACATGACAATCGTGACTTTTCATTCCGAACAGTCTACACCGAGTTAAATCAACACACCTCCCCAAATTAGAAACATAACCATCGGGGAAACACAATTTATCCACCCATTCACATATGGATTTCTTTTGATTTTGGTCTAGAGTATAATACGCTCTTTGATCATCTTCAACTCCTTTTCTCTTCCTACAGTAGAGTTTCAGATCTCTTCTCGCTGCTACATTATCCTTTGTCTTCGCTTTGACATCCATTACAGTGTAAAAAAGTTCTCAAATACATTTTTCACAATATGCATAACATCAAAATTATGTCTAATGAGGTTTGTTTTCCAATATGGTAAATCCCAAAATATGTTTTTCTTTTTCCAACCAGGATTGCCACATGCTTTGTTTACATCATCAACATTTAGTTCAGTCACTTTTACCAAACCTAGTAGTTAAATTTCCCTTAAAGTTTGTTCACCATTCTTAATTGGATGAGGGCCTTCTGTCACTTCACGATTCCTATTGAACTTATATTTATCCTTTCTATCTGGTGATTTACCTATGGGAATCTTTAATGGCAGTTAAACCATGAGATCTTATTACCATTATTTAATATAAATAATTATGTATGTTTCCCACAATGTGGACATGCTAGCTTACCTACACTAGACCATCCTGACAACATTACATATGCTGGAAAATCGCTTAATATCCACATCAAATCTGCTCGTAAATGAAAATTTTGTTTTAAAGATATATCATATTTTGATATGACTTCTTCCCATAACTGCTCTAATTCTGCAACAACTGGTTGCAAAAGTACATCTATTTTATGGTTAGGGTTTGACGGTCCTCGCGCAAGTGTGATAAAAAACATGTAAGTCTCTTTCATGCACATAGAAGGTGGCAAATTATAAGGTTTTATAGTAATAGGCCAAGATGTTTATTGTTTTCCAAATGCTCCATGTGGTGCAAACCCATATGTACTTAGGCCTAATTTAACATTACGTATTTCTGATGTAAATGAAGGATGAATTCTGTCAAAGTACATCCAAGCTTCTGAATTGGATAGATGACACGTTACTCCAGCATCATGTCCATGATCCTCAAAGTGTTATCGCATGGAAGCGGCTGTGGTTTGCGAAGCATATAATCTCTTCAACCTTGAAGTCATAGGAAAGTAATGAATTCTCTTAAAGGGTATGCGAGAACATCCGACTAATTTTTTTGACCATTTGTACCTATCTGGATTGCAGAATTTCACCGATAAGGCTCTTTGTCTTCCCTCCAATATATCATACATCCAAACCTGTAGCAGTCAATCATCTCCACAGGCAGACCTAGTGCATGTATTAACTTTTTGCTCTCGTATAAACTACCTACCGTATTACTCTTCTCCGGTAACATATCATTTATCAATTGGTAGATAGCATCATAACTTTGTTCAGGTATGCGATACTCTGATTTTATATTCAATATTCTAGCTACAAAAACTAGTTGTGTGACTTTTAACATCCATACCATAACTCTTTATTGGCTTACTCTAGCATGTCAAAGATTTTTTTATGTAGTGCATTTGGCTCCTCTTTATGATTACTAGTAATAAATTCAAGATCCATTGCATCTATTATCATTTCTTTATAATTACATTCATCGTCATTCAAATTTGTGTTTGAATCATGACTAAACTGCACAAATGGTCCCTGTGGTTTACACAAAATTGCCACTTTGGTCCAAAAACGTTTTGGCTAGCACCACAAGTCCAAAGTTTCCATTTTCTTGCATATTTGGTCCAATGGGTTAACTTCCGTTTGTTTCCCTCTGTTAAGTTATGTTTGACTAGTCAAATCAGGGGTATTTTGGTCATTCCCTATTTATGCCCTTTATTTTATATTAATAAAGGAGAGTAATAAGAACGAATCCAATCCATCTTCTTTGTCGTCGTTCTCATTTTGATCTTCTGCAACTCTCCGATCGATTTCTTCAAGAAATCAAAATCAAAAATGGTGCTTTGTTTTTGTGGTAAAATGGCCATAGTTCGCACAGCATGGAATGATAAAAATCCAGGTAGACGCTTCTTGGGATGCCCTACTGAGGTACGCATTTTTTTTTTGGATTTCAGTATAAATCTCCCATTAGATGTTACGATCTTCTTTTGATTCTTAAATTTTGAAGGGATCCAAATGTCGATTTATTGGGTGGTTTGATGGTCCAATTTGTGAACGTTCAAAAGCTATTATACCTGGGCTGCTGAGGTCAATCAACAAAGTGAAGTCACAAAACACAAGACTCAAGTGTTACCTGTTATGCAGTTGGGTGTTGTTCGTGTTTGTTCTGGTTTATAAGAAGTAGATTGAAGTGTAATGGTTTGGGTGGTTTGTAAGTGTAATATGGTTTGGCTGGTTTCTAAGCAGTATATTGAAATGTAATGGTTTGGGTAGTGTTTTAAGGTTTTTGGTAGTATCTTGTTTAAGCAATGTAATCTTTTGGGCAATACTTTGTGGTAGTCTTTTTTGGTTATAATGTAAGCAATGTAAGACATGTTTTGCAGCAATTTGTCAATGGTGATTATATTTGGTATGTACATTTTGACCAATTTATTTTGTTTGTGGTGTTGTTTAAAAGGGCATTGGTCTATTTATTTTGTATGTGGTTTACACATTATCAATGAAAATTGTATGTGTTGTTTAAAAGGGCATATTGGTCAATTTATATTGGGCAAATTTGTGTAAACCACAGGACCATGTGTGCAGTTTTGTCTTGTGGTTTTTTTTAAAAGGGCATATTGGTCTATTTATTTTGTATATGGACAAATGTATGTTTTGATTAAAAGGGCATATTGGTCAATTTATATTGGGCAAATTTGTGTAAACCACAGGACCATGTGTGCAGTTTTGTCTTGTGGTTTTTTTAAAAGGGCATATTGGTCAATTTATATTGGGCAAATTTGTGTAAACCACAGGACCATGTGTGCAGTTTTGTCTTGTGTTTTTTTTAAAAGGGCATATTGGTCTATTTATTTTGTATATGGACAAATGTATGTTTTGATTAAAAGGGCATATTGGTCAATTTATATTGGGCAATTTTGTGTAAACCATAAGACCATGTGTGCAGTTTTGTCTTGTGGTTTTGTTTAAAAGGGCATATTGGTCTATTTATTTTGTATATGGACAAATGTATGTTTTGATTAAAAGGGCATATTGATCAATTTATTTTGTATGTAGTTTACACATTATCAATGACAAATGTATGTTTTGTTTAAAAGGGTATACTGGTCAACTTCTACAACAAAAAATTATACATTACAATAACATCAAGACATCATTACATTAAATCCAGTGTAAATTGTTCCCATACATCACAGGGGTACACTATCAAGTACCAAAAGTAACATCCAAAATGGTTAAACCCCAAAACACAGAAAGTACTAAACATACAATACACATAAACATAACATTATCCCAAAAAGACACTTATACCCCTACAAACATCAAAATCCCTTGAAATCCAATCACTTACCCCCTTGGCCTTTGCAAGTTCTAGCATTGTGCCCTTTAATTTTACACTTGCTGCAGGTTACTTGGATAAACTTTCTTGTAAGCTTTCCACTCCTACTAGCAATATTGCTTTGACTCCCACTACCACTAGCAACATTGTCTCCCTTCTTCTGGCTTTTCTCCTCAGCAGAGTGCCTCCTCTTTTTCTTTGGCCTTCCAGGCTGATTTTTGTGTATAGGAGGGGTGATTTTAATTGGGCATTCACTTATAGGCCACATTGCTCGACCTTTAATAGGCTCTACTTTGTACACATAAGCTGCTTTCCATGTTTCTAGCCAGTGCACCCTGTGGGCATAAGTGTGCAGTTCTCCAACTTCCTCACCATTATCTGCTTTGTCATTTAGGACTGCAATGACATGCTTACAAGGGAGTCCTGTTAATTCCCACTTCCTACAACTGCATACTCTTTCAACCATATCAACAACATGTTGATCCTGCCATGGCCCTTGCACTTGGTATTTATCTGACCCATTCCACCTAACTGTGTACTGAGATGCCCAATTCACATTCTTCTCCATGATCTTTGTTGCAGATAGGGTTAGTGGACCAACACACTTCTTTTGAACCTTTATGACATTGCATATTCTTTTCATCATATACTCCCTAATGTACTCCAAGCAGGATATCAGTGGCTTGTCCCTTCCCTCAATCAATTTGCTATTAAAAACTTCACAAAGATTATTCAGAAGCATATCTGAAACTGCTCTGCCTGAAAACACCACAATATTGTCAGGATCAAACATATACTAATACAAAAGGATCAAACATATACCAACACAAAAGGGTAAATTTGGAAGTTGAAGTATATACCTGTGAAGTGGCTTCTTGCCCAATGTTGTGGGGGAATCTGCTTCAACCAATTATAAGCTTCTACATCATATGAGCTGAATTGATGCATCCTATGATTAAACTCTGGTACTGTTGTTGCTGTAGCACAATTCCACAAGTGTTCTTTGTACTCATTAGTTCTCCATGTTTTTCTCATATTGTCATGTATATGCCTAAGGCAAAACCTGTGCTCAGCACATGGGAACAACTGAGAAATGGCAGTCTGCAATCCCTGTAAAGGAATTAAAACATAGTTAATATAGCACATCCAAATATGTCAAATATAAACAACAAATTACAAACCTTTTGTCTGTCACTTATAAATGTGAAGTTTGAGTTTGCATGTAGGTCCAGATCATCTGCAATACACTCTAGAAACCACTTCCAACTGTCAGTGTTCTCAGTCTCAACAATGGCATAAGCTAGGGGGTATATTCCATTGTTGGAGTCTACCCAACTGCAGTTAAAATTTGTCCTGGGAAAGGGCCCTTCATAAATGCCCCATCAAAACCTAGAAAATCCCTCAGGCAAGCTCTAAAGCCCTTTTTCATTCCACCCAAACACACGTACATCCTTTTAAACCTTCTTGAGGTAGCACTTAGGTTGGGTTCTGAATCAAACTCTAACTTCACAGTGGTTTCTGGATTAGTAGACTGCAACTCCAGGATGTAATCTCTAAGAACATCATATTGCTTTTTGTAATCACCCTGGACAAGTTTTTTTGCAGTTGATTTGGCCCTGAATACCTTGTGAATAGAGAATCCAACTTGATAATCCTTTTGAAGTTGTTCTTGAAGAGCTCTGACTGGGATTGTTGGGTTGGATTCAATCTGGTCCATTATCTGCTTAGAGATAAACTTTGCTGTTGCAGATCTAACTTTTCTTGTCTGGAGGCATTTATGTTCGTGGTTGTAAGTTTTTATGAACCAATTACTATTTACATCTGACCTAGAACCTTGTATCACCCAAGGACAAGGGGTAGGTTCACTGAATGACCATCATTAAAGGCCACAGTTCCTTTACAGATTGCCCTTAACCTCATTTTGTCGTTTTTCACAAAGAATATATTCCTTCTTGTTTCCAGTGCATGCAATTGTATCTTTTCCTTTAACTCCTTCTTATTTTTATATTTTTGTCCTATCCTAAAAGTTACCTTGTGTATCTCACCTTGAGAGCACCTAGTCTCCTTCCCCAATTCCTTTATTACAGCTCTTCTTTTCCTATCTATATCAGAACCCTCATCCAATGAATCCCATTGATCATTATCTATAACACCCAACTCTTCATTGACCTCATCATTGTCATTCTCTCTATGCTTTGGTAATCTTTTTTCAAGAAATTCTGCTTCAAGATCTATATTCATGTAAAAATCCCTCATGTCTACTTCTACATCAGGGATGATGTTGTCTTCATCCACCCAGAAATCACTATCATCACTGTCCTCACTCTCATCACTTCTTTCAGTATTGTCTTCATCAATCTCTATGTTATCTTCACTTCCATCATCAACTGCAAAATCTCTCATCTCTACATTCTCATCATTCATTTCATTTCTGTCATGATTCTCTTCTTCAGTGACTTCCTTATTAACTGTATTTTCCTTACCTTCATGAACCTCATCATCTACATTCTGTTCATTAGACTGTAAAATCTGTTGGTACAATCCAATATCAAAGTCATTAGCTGCCTCATCAAATTCATTAAATCCCTGGTTAATATCATTACATGCCTCATGAAATTCATTAAAATCCCGGTTAATATCATTACATTCCTCATCAAATTCATTAAATCCGTGGTCAATTTCATTATCTGCATCATCCTTATTCCCACCAATCCTATCAACACTAACATCATCCATCACCAATTTCTTAATACATGATGATAATGGTTTGTCCTTGATAAATTCCCTTTTTTTATTATATTCAGGGCATATTGACAAGGCTAAAGCAGCTTCATTTGCTATCACAGGTGGTATGCATGTTTGTGGCATGTCACTGGGTTGGTTATTAGTTGGTGGGTTTGATGTTCATCGATCTCCTCTAATTGCTCAATAATAACTTTTCTTACAGGTTTAGGAGCCATAAAGTAAGTAAGCAAGTTAGTAATACCATGCTCGGTGTAAACCCTTATCAGTTTATGCTCCTTCACATACTGGGAAAGATTGAGGACATCATCATCATTTCCCAGGGCCCGTAGCCCAAAATGCATGTCTCCCTTTGGCACTCGAAAATGATAGTAGATAACCGGAGGAACTGAGTATCCTAACCCTTTCATAATCGCATCCATCTCGTGAATAGAAAACTCTTCTATATCCACCATATCTACATACGTCACAGACCCTCAATGTAGTTGACATTTGGAAACTTTGTGAACTCACCTCCATGATGTAGCTTGATGGTAAACAATGTAGGGTGTCCACCCCTAAAGACGTATTGTCATCATTAATGGAGATTTCACCATGTTTATCCCAAAACCAATATTTCTGAACAAAACCTGACTTATGCAAATGATGCTTAACAATATTAGGGTCTTTATATGGTATGTTACAATATGTGATGCATGTCCATTTGATTCTATTTTAGTCCATCAATGTTTGTTGACTCATAGCAAAGTCTATGAATTTTGTCACTCCTTGTATGAAAACAAATGATACACAACTGCGATTATATTTTCTTTCATACATCCACATTCTATACATTGTTAAATATGTAAAATATACATTTAAATAACACAATATTATGTTCATTAATGTTGCTTTGAATTAATAGATGAGATTTAAAGTACACACACACACACACACACACATATATATATATATATATATATATACACACACACACACATATTGTAACGCCGTAGATCCGGGCTAGTCAATTTAGAGGCAATAGGGGTCAAAAATGACTTTTCGATAAAAGATTATTTAGAATGAATAGTCTTAACCAAGTTTTAGAATATGTCACAAGGTTTCCGTACATATAAAGAACGCCGAAATCCGAGTTATAACGAAGAAGTTATGGCCCGCCGAAGTTTTACGGCAAAACCGGCACGACACCGGAAGACGTAAATAGTGAATTTACGATAGAAGACTTTTTAGCCTTAGCAATCTAAACAAAAGTCGTTGAATATGTTAAACTAAGAACGTCGATAAAAAGAACGCCCAAATCTGACTTCGTATGATGAAGTTATGATTTTTCTAAGATTCGGCTTAGCAGTGTACAGCCCGAAACTTGAATTTTAGTTCGAGCGGTTTTTGGCTTATGTGAAATAAATGAGAGTTGAAGATCTCATTTATAGGAACTCAACGGTAAAAAGACAAACGAAAACGGAGTCCGTATGAAGGAGTTACGAATTCTTCGCGGTCATTTAACAGTCTAAACGCCTCATACTGTTAAATTTAAGATCAGTGGAGAATTAGCTGACGGAGTCAAAATGAAAGTTGTAGATATTATTTTTACCTACGCGTGGATATAAAGAACGTCAAAAACGGAGGTCGTATGTGAAAGTTACGGATTTTAGAAGTCGGAAGTGTGTTGTGCGAAAATGGGTGATGTGGCACAATCTTGGCCATTGCTTTCTCCCCAAATCTTGCCACTAGATGGTGACATGTGGCACCAAGTTCAGCGATTTTCACCCTATAAATACCACCTCTCCCACCCTCATTTTCTTCACACCTTTCCCATTCTTTCTTCTCTTTACTCTCTCTCTAGAACCTCTCTCTAGCCCCGAAATCCCCCGAAAAGCCTAAGGAACCTCCCTAGCACGAGGCGGAAGCCCCGGAGTGCTCGACGGCTCCGAGAAGAAGAGCTTTTCGGCTTGGAAACGCTGCTCCAAGCAAAGCCTGGTTTTCTATAAAACCCGCTGTAAGTGAGCTACGCCTACGCTTTTTTTAATATAGTTTTTATTTAATTATATTAACGTTATTAAGAACATATAATAAATAGTTGGGCTATTATTATGGGTTATATAAGTATTTTTTTTTAACGCTTATATAATAGTAATAATAGCTAGACTATTAATTAGTCTCGGCGAATAATAGACTCAAATCTATTGGTGATAATACTAGGTTTCGTCGAAGGAAATTATTTTAAAGTAAACGAAGCGCTGTCCGAGTACTGAGTCACCAACTTCTCAGATGAGTGCATAGTCCCTTTCATGAACATGATTTTAGTACAAGTATTGATTGAAGTATTAATTATATGTTTATGTGCGAGTTAATTGATGTTGCTTGAAATTCGTGTTAAAGAACATACCTAATTGTATTTGATAATTTAGGATAAAGAGTAGACCTAAATTAAATATGAGGAATATTGGGTAGTATATTCTTACGAGTACAAGTGAGTTAAACTCAGAGAATAGAAGTTAGTATATGTCACTTATCCGGGAGTATGGATTAGACATAGTCATTGTCCCTAGTCCGAGAATATGGATTAGGCATAATCATTCGTCGTTAATCCGAGAGTATGGATTAGCTATTGTCCCTAGTCCGAGAGTATGGATTAGGCATAATCATTCATCTTTAATCCGAGAGTATGGATTAGTCATTCGTCCCTAGTCCGAGAGTATGGATTTGGTAAATTCGTTCATTTCTGATCCGAGAGTATGGAGTAGGTAAAACGACTAATCTTAGGTCCGAGAGTATGGATAGCCTCGTTGCGAGGATCGACGGGGTGGGATAAGAGTTGTTTATATATATGTATGGTGAAATTGTATATTTTGTGAATTTTAAACTATATATATGGTATAACATTGTGGGATTGAAATCCCTATGTGCTCACCAGGTTTCCCAACCTGACCCACTCAGTTTATTTATATCACAGGTGTTGATATGAAGTGACATTACACTGAGAGATTTAAAGAGATGTAGACCACTAGTGTGAATAATTGTAAGTTCTGTTTATGCTTATGTTCCTGTATTAACGATGACATCCCAAATGTTTTAAAATGAAATAAATACGTTTCTTCGAAAATGTTTTAATAACGTATTTACCATGTTTTTCTGGGAACAAATTCCGCAACCTTTTTATAAAATGAAGTACTCTGATTTTTATAAAGCATAAACAAAATCGGTCTTTTCTGGCCGTGATTTTGGGGATGTCACAGTTGGTATCAGAGCATTAGTTTAAGCGAACTAGGAATATGGATTTATTTCTAGACTTAAACTTAGAATGCTAAGCGATGATTGTGAGGTGTGAGCACTAGCTTATTTTAGGAATTATGCCTAAAATGCTTTTATGTGCTAAATACTTGTGCCTGATATGCTATTAGTTGTTCGGATCTATGGTCTGTTGCCGACCGGATATGGAAACCTTATGTGTTTAGGATTCCAAATGTACGACTACGATATTAGAACTAGCATATAAACGTTTCGGAGTGATAAGGATGATTTAACCATCAATCCTAAGTAAAGATCTAGATTCACTTATTCGGTGTATAGATCAAGATGGCAAGAACCCGTAGCGGAAACGTGAATGCAAATGGGAACAGAAACCAACCCCCAGTGATTGAGCAAATACCGGTGATGGAAGCCGCCGCTGAGCCAGTCACAATGGCTGGAGTGCAAGCGATGATCCAAGTGATGTTGGATCATCAAATGGAGGAAACTAGATGTTTGCTCCAGCAAAATCGTGAGGAAGCCACTATTCAGATCGAACAGCCCGAGTTGAACGAAGGGCAGACTGAGGAAGGAAACTACAGTGGGACTGTTGGTCAAGTCAACCCACCAATAGTTCGACAAAACAACCAAGATGACGAGGTCGAGAGGAATGGATGCAAGTACAAGGATTTTCTGACTTGCAAGCCATCGACTTTCACTGGAAAGGAGGATCCGATCGGGGTCATGGATTGGATCTCGGAGATGGAGTTAGCCTTCATGACATGCGGTTGTAGAGGGAAGCTACAGACCACATTTGCAGTGCGTCAGTTTCGAGGAGGCGCTGTACGTTGGTGGAATACCTTGGGGAAGACTCTGAGCCCTAATGAGCCTCTGCAACTGACATGGGCAGAATTTCTGGTGCAATTCAAACGAAAGTACTGCTCAGCTCAAAACCTACTTGAGCTAGAGAACCAGTTTCTAACCCTGAAGAAGGGAAGCATGTCAATCGATGAATACACCAACAACTTCACAGAGAAGATGGAGTTCGCCTTGCGTCTTGTTCCGGATGAGCTGACAAAAATCGACAAGTACACAAAAGGACTTCCATGGGAGTACGCGGTGCCAGTGCGTCAAGCACCTACTCTAGAGGCAGCTATCTGGGCTGCCAAGTCTGTCGAAGATATGATCAAGGGAAGAGCCTCCAGCAAGATGGAGGTTGGCGAGAAGAGAAATTTTGAAGGATCTTCAAGGTCCAGCGAGAAGAGAAAATTCTCGAAGTTTGAAGAAGGAACGCAATGGTGTGACAAGTGTAGAAAGAAGCACATCGGGAAATGCTCTAAATATAAAGACATGCTTTAAATGTGGGAAGACTGGTCATTATGCCAGCGAATGCACAACCAAGAGAGAAGTCTGCTTTAAGTGTGGATAAGAAGGACACTTCAAACAAGACTGCCCAAAGAGAGAAGGGGCTACAAAGCCAAATGTGCCACCAAAGCCAATAACGAGAGCATTTCAAATGATCCTTGACGAAGCAGATGACAATGCAAGGATTCATGAGTGAAGGCTTGACATCCGAGGATCGAGTTATGGAGTAATCCTGTAGATAGTACCTCACGATGTAGCCCGTTAGAGGCATAGTCTAGGGTGAACTTGAACACCTATGTAACAGTATCAAGAAATAATATAAAACCTTTGTTTTGTTATCTGATGTGTTAAGTTGTTGTATGGTTTTCTTGTATGGTGACTTGGAAAAACTGCGGGACAATACTTGGGACGAGTATGAGTAGGTGTGAATGGTAGTAGAGGCCTATACTACCGGAAGCACAGGACTCACACTTGGATCAGGGAAAGTCACAAGGTTACCAAGAAGCCAGTAATTGATTTCGTTTTATTCAAGT